GAATACTATCAATAGTAAAATTTTATTCTCCCACATTATGCAGTATTGACTATTCTATAATATCAAAATAATATTCTTCTAGAATATTGATATACACATAGTTATGATTATTCACAAGTAACCGAACAATATTATTCCGAATTATTGATATATTTAAATTAATCATAACATTATTCGAAAATATTAATATTTGTAAATTTGTGCTTTTCAGGAACACAATACAATATTTTTCAAGAATACTAATATATATTATTTTTATTTTTTTTGGAGCAATATATCAAAAAAAAAAATTATAATATTCTTCTGGAATATTGATATATTCATAGTTATGATTATTCACTAATAATAGAACAAGATTCTTCAAGAATATTGATATATTTAAATTAATCATAACAATTTTCAAAAATATTAATATCTATAAATTTGAGCTTCTTCAAGAATACAATACGATATTCTTAAAAAATACTAATATGTATTTTTTTGAATTCTTCTGAAGCAATATGTCAATATTCTTCTGGAATATTGAAATCATAATGACATGCTATTCAGGAACAGATAAATTAATATTCTTCTTGGATATTAATAATATAGAAAATTATTTTCCGTTAAAAATTATAACCCAACATTCATTTGTTTAATTTGTGTTTTTTTGGGAACACAACGAGATATAATTATTCAAGACTTGTGCTACTCTTAGAGCACGTTATATTTTATTATTGTTTTTTCAACAGCAATATATCAATATTCTTCTAGAATATTGAACATTATAATTTAAGATCTTCAGGAGCAATCAAATATTATTATAATAAAATTATTTAAGGATTTACTCTTCTTGTGTAAAAACATAATTTATGTTAGATTTTACATAACAATGCTCTTCGAGATCAAGTAAAATCTAACTAGAATATTAATAATAATGTGCTATTTCGGGAGCAACAATATTTTATAATAGACAGATATACGAATATTACATTCATAAATTATACTCGTATTAAAAAGAGCAGAAACGAGGTAATTAATCGAAAGATGAGAAAAAGAAGAAAAAAAAATTAACTCTTCACATGCACTAAAAAAAAATTAATTGGCGACGGCCTTGTTCTTCAATATATATGCATAATTGGGGAAAATAAAACGGAAAGCATGTATTTGCTCACATATGGAAACTAATATACACAATTATGAATTGTCAAATCAAGTCATGTTTTTCGAAAGCGAAAAATTCAAAAAGACGGGAATTTGGTCCACTATGTATGCCGCCAGATGTGTGATATGCAAAAACTATTACCTTTCGTCGAGTTCGTTTGTGATACAAAGATGAATTAAAATTGAAATTTCTTTTTGAACGCGGATGAAATAATGACACCCTCTTTATTTTCTTTGTATCTAGAGAATATTAGACTTTGAAAAAAATTAAGCTATCATGCTAATAATGTGTTTTGAAAAGAGAGAAGAAAATAAAAGAAAATAAAAGTCAATAAACTTGTGTATATTTTAATGAGAACCAAAATTCTATATTTATATGGAAAGATTATGGATACAATGGTAATAATTTCTAGAGTTGTAGGGATACGATTATCATTCACTAATAAACTTACGATTTACAACAATATGGAGGTATTTTAGAAAACATTTTATGGTTTACATTAGCAAATGCATTTATTTACCAAATCCTCGAAATTAAAATTGAAATTTCTTTTTGAACACGGATGAAATAATGACACCCTCTTTATTTTCTTTGTATCTAGAGAATACTAGACTTTGAAAAAAATTAAGCTATCATGCTAATAATGTGTTTTGAAAAGAGAGAAGAAAATAAGAGAAAATAAAAGTCAATAAACTTGTGTATATTATAATGAGAATCAAAATCTTATATTTATATGGAAAGATTATGGATACAATGGTAATAATTTCTAGAGTTGTAGGGATACGATTATCATTCATTAATAAACTTACAATTTACAACAATATGGAGGTATTTTAGAAAACATTTTATGGTTTACATTAGCAAAGGCATTTATTTACCAAATCCTCGAAACCTTGAACTAGTTTTGGGACATATGATTCCAAACCAACTAAAATGAGGACCAAACATCAATTTATGAAAAAGTTTGAATGCCTTTTTTTTTTTTTTTTTTTNTTTTTTTTTTTTTTTTCCTTTTTTCAAATGCATTTTAAACCCAAAAATCCATTATCAAAATTCATTGACTGCTGGGGAAAAAAACTAGGCTTGCTTCCATATATGAAATCATTATAGTTGTTATGTTTGAGATTAATTGATATGAGATCAAAATCTATTATTTAGTTTGTTATAGGGATGGCAATAGATTGAGTCGGTCATAACTTGGCTCATGTCCAAATCTATTGGCTCGTAGGCCTACGGGTGCACCGAAAAGCCCACAAGCCTGTTTGTATAATCTTTTTAAACAAAAATCAAAACCTCTTTTCTTTTTTCAAGGCTTGGGGTCAAGTACTTTAAATGTATGAGGAGTTAAAATTGTACACAAATAAGATATTACATATACAATATTTTCTAAAAAAATAAGAAAGTTAATGTATCCAATACTAATTTATATGAGCCAGTTAATTGACTTAGTTCTTGAAGAGTTTCAATCATTAATGAGTCCCGTTGAAACAAGTCCACCTTATCTTGTATTCAGAATTATGCGTCTTTTCAATCCTTTAACATACATTAAACTCTTTATTATATCTGTTTTAAGTCTTGACATGTAATAAGGTAGAACAATGTCACTTGAACTAAGAGCATACTCTGATGCTACAGTAGATAGTGGAGATGTTAGTAGACCATGAACTAACAAATGGACATTGACGTTTGTTTATTTTCTACCATCTAAGTATTTCAAAAGTTGATATTTCTTTCTCCTCTAAAATGCTAAGCACGTCGTGAGCAAAATACCTAGCTATTTATAATGTTATTTCACATATATCTATATTTGTAACATGTGTGAGGGAAGAAGTGCTAGCATTATAGATATTGAATAACTTTACAAGAACTAATGTAGGTCCATGTTAATTCGTTGTTTGCTTGAGATGACGAATTAGGCCATGCTACTAGGACCGTTGAACATTTCTATCACTCTTTTCGACATGTAACTCATACATCTGACGTAAATTTTTCTTGAGACTAACATGTATGACTGGAGATCCAAACGTTAATTTATTTGAAATTTCACTTACAATATATTTTGTACCCTCTTAAATTAAATATAAGGTCCATTACTAAAGCTAACCGAAACAACATAGACTATTTTCCTCAATATTTTCTAAAGCTAACTGAGACAACATAGACAATTTTCCTCAATATTTTCTAAACTTAGCTTCTATTGTTACTACGATATTTCAAAAATGGAAAATATTTTATGCGTACTAAAATTATTGACAATATAAAAAAATTTAATGAAAACGAGTGGACTAGTTGTATAATATAAGATTGAACATGTGTTCATAGCGTCATAAAAAACTTCGAAAATTTTCTCACATGACATGAAATTTACAAATCACGTTCTTGTAAATCAAATTCTGGACCATGTGAGCGTCGATCGTTGTTATAAGAACTACTTTATTGTTCGTAACCTTTTCAAGATTTTAGCATAAGATAAGTTAAGGGTCAAAACAAATTAAGAAGTGGCCTAACGAGTCCTTAGATGCGATCACAAATAATGACCCCATGCGATTGCATGGGGCAACGAGCAACCAGATTTTTGTTCTCCTAATTCTATTCATCTGTCGATTCTTTATTAATTGGGGCACGAGTTTATACATAATTGAAGGTCTATAAATATGTCTCATTCATTGTTATCAAAAGGAAGACACTTCTTGAGGAAAAGTACATAGATCCACACACGCACATGTGTGTGTGTTGTATTGAATTGGATCAGGTTTTTAATCCCTTTATTGTTTATATTAGTACAAGAAATCGAAAATAACCCAAAATTCATGCAATATAAGTATCTCAAAGATTTACAATCAAAAGACTCATCAGCATAAGGATACCATCTATCTTGAGCTCATAAACATTGTAACTTTTTGTACAAATCAAAATAACAAACCACAAACCCTCAATGGCCAGTCGAAACTACTTCTACGAACCAGAAGCCCCCAAACTGAAACTAATACACTCTTCTCTCAAATAGAATCACAGAGACTTAGAATCTCAAAGAAACAAAGAGATCAACCAACTAGAAGTTGAAGATCGAAACAGAGAAGACGAAGGGAGAGAGCAAAACTCAGAGAGAAGATTCAAGAACACACACAAAGAAATAGATTTTGATAAGAGATCGAGAGATATTCCTATGTTTAGATCTGATTCTAACCCAAGGCTACTAAGGCAGTGGCCTTAGGCCTCAATATATTAGGGGCCTCAAAAAACTTCAAAGCCAAAAATGATTATTTTTTGTACAAAAAAATTATGGAATTTTCTTGCATTAAATATTTCTTGAAGATGTAGTTGCAAATAAAGCACAAGGCTCTCCCACTACGAACAATGATTGGTTTTTTAATTATTCAAGGTTAATTTTTTGTTTTGTAGATTTGATTGCTGCTTTTGAATCTTATTTTAACTTTTTTTAATATAGGATGTTTTAGGCAATAAATGGTAATCACCACTCACATATATACATCACGGGGTTTTCGAACTCCTTAGTTCTATTTCATGAATGTGAGAATTGATTCTCGAACGAATCAATAAAAGTTAAATACATCACAAGTCTCATTCTCCAAGATTTTCATTTTATTGTTTCATTTTCCTTCAAAGTATCAATCACATCACCATTTCATGCTCTTAGAATGCAAGAAAATTAGAAGACCTCAGTAAAAAAATGAACACTTTTATTTCATATACTTCATTAATTGATAAACTGAATAAATCACCCAAAAACAATCAAAGTCCAGCCTCCAAAATAGAAAGAAAAGATAAACTGGCCCGAAAAAAAGATATCGGTAATATAATATCATGGTGAAGGGAGAACTGCATAATGGGAATATCAGTTGCGAGGATGGGTGTTTTTAGGAGTGGCAGTTCCAGTGGCAACTTTGGCGACGTCAAGCGCAGTGGCTTCAGGCTTTTTCTTAGAGTACAAGGTAAAATAACCAAGCGTGAGCACCACGGCAAATCCACCGATGGCCATTCTTGCCGGATGAAAAGGTAACTTGCTCCTTTGGTGGAGCACCTCAGATTTAACATTCCCTGCTGAAGGCATTCTTGGAGATGCTTGGTAAGCTCCCTCGACTCTTTGGGGCCCAATGGGTGGGGCGACGCCGGCGGTTTTCATTGCCTGCTGCCCTTGTCCTGGCGGTGGTGGCGCATGTACCCCACTGCCACTTGGATTCACATTTCCTGGTGCTACCATTTTTCGTTATATTACCAAAAATATTTTACTCTATATAGGGAATATTTGATCTTGTTAGTTATAACACAGGAGAGAGAGGAAAATTGAAGGGGCTTAGAATAGAATAAATAGGGGCGTTAAGTTAGTTATACGTTTGACAAGTGGAACAAAAGCAGTGAATTTAGCAATACTTGACCATATGCAATTTTCATGGTTCTAACATGCTGTATACTGTGGAATCGTTCTAATTAACACTATTTTTGGGGTTAATTATGTCCTTTAATACATGAAATTTTATGATTCATTTTTTATTTCAAGTTAATCATTTCTACACATTGTAAACGAAGAAAGTTATATTACTAGTTTTCAACTATTGGTCCATTGAATTCTAGAGATTTATCGATATTAATGTCTTCTTACCTGAATAGATGCATCACTTGATTAAGATGGCATCAAATTATCTTCTTCAATACTTAATTTTTGAGTAAATATATGCCCCGTTGCATATCAAACTGGTAGAAAATTAGTAGAAATTAAAGCAAGTCCAAGCAATATAAGAATAAAAAAGTCTTGGATGCCACTACATATTGCCAATGAAAGTGTAGATCAATTCATCTTGGATGGTGGTTGCTGTAGCCTCCACCCTCGCTGCTGCCACCTTCACCACCAGACTCCGGTGGAGGGAGTGGGTGTAGGTGAAGGTGAGTACCTCCTCCGGCTTCACGTTTCCTTAAGCAAAAGGAAGTCCCTTGGAAGCATTCACCTCCTGTAAATGACGCAAACCCACGTAGCAATTGTAGCTACGGAACCCACGGCAAATTAGAACAATTCCAACAAAGTCAAGAATCAACGTTTGAAAGCTCAACCCAATAAATTATTGAATCAAAGAACTAAGATAATTGTTATCGATATTTTGACCACGTGATCACAAAACTTATGAACCTTACTTAAATTTATAGAATACTACAAGAAATTAATTCTTGATAAGTTCAAATTAATTCAATGAAAAACGAAAAGAAAGCAAATTAGCCCCGCGATAATATCTCAATAATTGTTTGTTTTACAATGAATATAATAAGTCCTATATATAGGGAACCCATAAAACCTATCTAGAAACGGAATTTAAGCCTAAAAAAGATTTTAAAAATTTCATACAAGAGTTTTAACTAAAATAGAAGATTATGCAAAAATTGAAAAAAAAGGGTCCAGGTTTGAGCTATGCGGCCGCATGGTGTAACCCATGTGGTCGCATAGGCCACTTAAATTAGCTTCCATTTGGTTCGATATCTATGCATGCGACCGCATGCATAAGTGTGATATGCAGTCGAATGGCTTCACTCCTCAGCTCCTCGCCTGTTGCTTGCACCAAGTTGATCCATCTCATTTCTTCTTCCAAACTCAACACGAAACTTGTCCATTTGCTTTCCGTGATCATTTTTTGTCCATCGTGGTTTAAGCAAGTAGTCACATTACTTCTTTGACCCTCTTCGCTCGCTATCGGTCATTAGCTCTTTCTCAACGATCAACCGGTCCTTGCCCGGACTTGCTCTCGTATCGTGGATCACATCATCCCTTCCCTCTTCGAAAAGATTCGACCTTGAATCTATACCCGTATCAAAGAGAGAAAGATCAGAGACGTTAAAAGTAGCTGAAACATTATACTTACCTGGAAGATCTAATTTGTAGGAATTATCATTGATCTTTTCAAGGACTCGGAATGGACCATCTCCCCATGACTGCAACTTCGACTTTTGTTGTTCTAGAAAACGCTCTTTCCTCAAGTGCATCCAATATAGATATGCTATATTGGTGGCATCATCACTTTTATAACATGGAATGAAATGTGTCATCTTGCTAAATATATCAACTACCACAAATACAGAATCCCTTACTTTCTTGGTCCTAGGTAAACCCAACACAAATTCCATAGACACGTCAACCCAAAGTTCAGTAGGGATAGGTAATAGCCTATATAATTCCTAGGATAAAACCTTAGATTTTGCCTTTTTACAAGTAGTGCATCTACTACAAATCGGATCAATATCTACTTTCATCTTAGACCAATAAAAATGTTCAATTAGCATCTCTAAGGTCTTTGATTGTTTGATTTCCCACAAGTGAACGAGATCGTGAATAAATAATAAAGTAGTGAATAGAGTATCGAACCCACGAAGATTACGTGTTTGATGGAGTTAAAATTAATTTCAACTTTAATTGAATAGCAAACAAATTTTGTATTTTTTTTATACTAAAAGCCTATTTGGTGCACATTAAAATGAGAGAATCCCTAAATTATCAATTAAACTAATGAAAATAAGTAAATGTATTTTTATTCAAATATTTGAGATATATTGTTAAAATGTCGAATCACCCTTATTATTTCTTTTTTAGTGTAACAATTAAAGTGATAATTTGAAATCATTTATGTTGGTCAATGTTCCTAATTTAATTGAAATTTTTTTCTCAATAGCGATCAAATATATTCCCCTCATGTGATCTTTCTATCTCTCGATGAAAGATGCAAACATGATAAATGCATTAACAAGTACTAGAACATCTATTGAAATCATATAAAGTATAAAGATATATCTACATCCTCTATCGAACTTTACAATATTTATTATAATGTGCTTAAATCATATTGTCTCTCTTGATAACAATAAAATCCACTAACAATTCAATTGGTGATCAAGCAATTGAAAAGAACGATAAAAACGATAATAAACATCCACAAATCAAATCAAATTAAAGTTAAAATAATTAATTAAAAACTAAAAATATCATAACAAATGTAATCCACTAACAATTCAATTGGTGATAAAGTAATTGAAAGGAACGATAAAAACGATAATAAATATCCAGAAATTAAATCAAATTAAAGTCAAAATAATTAATTAAAAAAAAATAACAAGGGTTCATCTCATCCTAGCAATGTATAAAATTAGTCTCATATATTGAAATTACAAGAAATAATATTTAAGTGAAAAGACATCACTCGAATTTTTGATAAATTGAGAAGATGAAGATGAATCTTGAAATCTTGAATCTCTTCAATGGTTTCTTAATGAATCTCCACTTTGCGCCTTCTCTTCTTTTTCCAAAAATCAGGTTTGAATCTTCACTTGATTGAATTCTTACAAATCTTTTTCAATTCTCTCACAAAAATTATGAATTCTCCTCCCTTGATTATAATAATTGATGAATAATGAAGTATAATATGTACATGAGAGGTCCTCAATATGTATTATGCTGTTATATATTTGTAGGAGTCAAATATCAGCTGAAAATTATGTCCAAATTGGTTTCCAAAAAAGTTCTAATCGAATAAGGAAAGTTGTCTTCGCGCTCGAATTTTTTTTCTCTGTACAACATTTAGTATTTTGACCATAACTTTTTCTTCTGATATCCGATTGAAGAGTTTAAAGTACATTGGAAAGATAGTTCAAAGGAATACAACTGTTCTAGAAATAGAATTTTCCCAATTCGGACGTTTACTATGTCAAAAATCGATTTCAATCTTCAACTAAAAATCTGGAATATAATTTGTGCGATTGAAAATTGGTTTTTATCGTATTCCATTTCTTTTTTAGTTCTAATTCCATCCAATTGTCTCCTAACAATCTTCAAAGTATCATCTTATGGTTCGAATCAACTATTGAATTTGCAATTTGGTCCTCAAACTTTGAATTTTGCCCCTTTTTTACCAATTTTTGCTTCTTTTTTTCGATTTCTCGTTCAACCATTGAGTCTTACCTATATAAAATAAAATACAACAATTTAGGATATATTTTGTCAGAAGAACTATCAAATATTGTTATTTTGACCCCCGAATAAGTGTATAAAATACACTTATCGGTCTTCTTAACCCTAAAATGACCTATTAAACCTCCACTATGTGCAACACATACTAATAATTCTCTCATTGAACATTTAGGAACACATAACTTATTTTTTTGAAATCAATACCCATCATGCCTAAAAAATCTATCCATAGTACCATTATCACATGATTAATATATATTAGAAAATCTGGATCATTAGCATACATGTCCTTAACATATTCAAATCCTAACAATTTAAAACCTAAAGACGATAGAAGTACGTACCTCATTGACAATGCATCTGCTACCATATTTTCTTTACCTTATTTATACCGAATACAATATGGAAATATCTCGATGAATTTCATCCACCTTGCATGTCTTTCGTTTAGCTTGCCTCGACCCCGTAAGTGCTTCAAGGACTCATGGTTGGTGTGAATCACGAACTCTTTTGGCCACAAGTAGTGTTGTTATGTCTCCAAAGCTCCAACTAGTGCATACAATTCCTTGTCATATGTAGGATAATTGAAAGTTACTCCACTTAGCTTTCACTAAAGTAAGCTATTGGTCATCATTCATGCATTAAGATAGTTCCAATACCTATTCTTGAGGCATCCACTTAATCTCAAAAGTATTGTTAAAATTAGGTAATGATAAAACCGGTGCGATATACAACCTATCTTTAATAGTATTAAAAGAGTGTTCTTGTTCAACGTCCTAATGAAATCCTACAATTTTATTTATAATTTCCGTGAGTGGTGTGGCAAGTGTACCAAAATCTTTTACAAAATGCATATAGAAACTAGTTAACCTGTGAAAGCTTCTTACTTCAGTTGTGTTTGTAGGTATTGGCCACTCCTTGATAGCTTGATTTTCTCCTCATCCACTTCAATGCCCTTAGAACTAACGACATATCCAAGGAAAACAACAATTTTCTATGCAAAATGTCCACTTTCTAAAATTAGGATAACGTTGTTCTTGCTTAAGAATACAAGCACAAATAAAGTTGTTCTTGCCTTAAAACTACAAGCACACATTTCAATTGTCTTATGTTCATTTAAATCCTTACTATATACCAATATGTCATCAAAGTAAACTACAACGAATTTACTTATGAATGCACGTAAAACATGATTCAATAATCTCATAAATGTGTTAGGTGCATTAGTAAGTCCAAATAGCATAATTAACAACTCATAC